ACATACATTTATTGAACATTTATTATATATAAGGCCCTAATATGATGTAAAAAGAAAATCTATAAACCAAGTCCTTTCCTCGGGTTTTAAAATCTTAAGTGAAATTGTACCTTAAAAAACAAACAAAAAAGATATATATTTAAGGCAAAGTATAAAACATAAGCTAGGGCTAATAAGTAGTCTGTGAATTGGAGAACAGAAGGACAAAATCGCTGACCATGAGGGCCTTGACAGAGTGAGACTATAAGGAAGAGGAAAGAAAGAAGTATGGAGAAAAAATTCAGGTAACAGTGGGAGGGCACATGGTGGTTTGGAAATACCCAAGTCAAGGCATTCAAAAGCATGGCAGAGAGCAAGCGCGGTTACAGGAACCTTTAATCCCAGCTACATGGGAGGCTGAGGCAGGAGGATCTCAAGTTCAAGACTAGTCTGGGGGTAGGGGCATAACCACATGCAGCTCAGAGGTAGAGTGCCTGCCTCACCTGCAGAAGCCCCTGGATTCAGTCCCCAGCAACCCAAGGACATCGAGTATGCAGATGCATATTAAACTCCTAAATCCACTCATCACTTACTAGTCTCAGCAAGTTATTTAGAATGCTTCCACCTCTAATTCCTCAGTCTATTCAGAAAAAAATTAAATAAAGCCACACATAACCTGGAAGATTGTAAGTGATCACGAGTTATCAGAAACATTATCGTTAAAGATGAAAAAATAAATTGGAATTCAATTATAGAAGGCCTTAACTATCAATCTAATTTGCATTAAATTCTATAGGTAGTGGTAAGCCTTTGTGTTGAGAAATGTGGTAGTACATAAGCTCTTATTTTCTTAATTTTTATTTGTATGATCCTGTTTATTGATCTCAGAGTTTTGTTATGCTAGACAAGTGCTCTAACACCAAAACATAACCTTGGTCCCTGTAAGTAAAGTTTTAGACCAATTTGGCAGAAAGTTGTACGAGCAGAAGGAACTGACTGCAGAGGAAACACTGCAAGTTGGACACTGTTTATGCAAACATCCAGGCGTACTGTAAGAGCTGAAACAAGGAGAGAGAGTTGATAGTAGGAACACAAAATGCAAGGTAACCAAGATAAGAAAGGATTTAGCTACTAAATAAAACAGTGAGATACTGATTTGTACATTTAAAACATAGTTAAGATGGTAAAGTTTATGCTATGTGTATTTCACCACATTTTTAAAAGAAGGTGGTAGAAAAGGATTACATAGAAAGGGGAAAAGCCAAAATTAATTTTAACACAAATAACTGGGGAAGCCAAAGCTACCTATAAGAAGGTCACAAAAGGGCCCTATTTGGGAAAAGGACTCTACATTTGGGTTAGGTAGAAAGTGATACTTTGAAAGCCAAAAGAACATGTAAGGTAAGCAGAGAGGCAAACCTGAAGCTGATTTGCTGAACTAACAAGATACCAGCAGGAAGGAGAACACAGCACCACACATTAACACGCTCAGTACACCCACCCACCCCACAACCTCGGATCGGTTCTTTGCATAGTAAGATAAGCGACCACTGAAAAGAAACTGTCTTCTGAAGCGTCCCCCAAATCTGGGAACAATAAAAAGAAGCCACCTACTCCACCTGCTGTATTCATCTTGTCAGGTAAATGGGACTGTAACACAACAACATCTTTCATAATCCTGTAACCGACCCCATTTATTCTAATATACAAGGTTAATTCACTCAACTTATTCTCCACATATCCCTTAAAAGCTTGCAGTGAAATTTGGGGGGGGGGGTCTAAATCATTTTATTGGGGGATTTGGACTGGGGAGAAAGCACTCAAGAAGAATGGACGTCCTTGGCATGGCTGGACCTTTCTGTGTCACCAAAAAGCAAAATTTTGTTTTTAACTGTAAATTCTATTAGTATTTTTTATACCTTTTCCTTGAATACCATGTGCATGAAAAGTATATGCTTGTTCTTCATAAGGTGAACACACCCATGTAACTTAGAGAACCCAAACCTAGAGAAAAAATTAGCCTTCCATAAGCCCCTTCATATCCTGTTCCAAATACTCCCCCTAATTCCCACAAGGAAAATCAATCTGACTTCTGATATGTTAGTTTTACCCATCTTTAGAAATTTATGTAAATGGAATCAGTAAGCATGGTTAAGATCTGACTTCTGTTCAACTTTATATTTGTACTAGGTGTGGTAGCACATGCCTGCAATCCCAGTATTAGAGAGACCAAGGCAGAAAGATCATTTCAAGTTCAAGGCCAACCCGGGCTAAAAAGTGAGTTCAAGGCCAGCCCAAACTGCAATACCTCGTCTCAAAAAAAAAAAAAAAAAAAAAAAAAAAGAAAAGAAAAGAAAAACTACCAATTTTTATATGTAACTGTAGTTTTTTATGCCACTGAGCTAAAGCCCCAGCCCCTAGCCATTTTTCTCAATATTCCTTGTGTGATTGTGTAAGCCTCACCCATTTTACTAGTGATAGGCAGTTGGAGAGTTCCAGTTTGGACTATTAGTCCTGCCATAGTCTTTCTTTGCCCTGTATTCTGGTGACAATATACACACAATTCTGTTGTGTTCACATCTAACAGTGGAACTGCTGAGTTACAGGGCATGTATGAGTTTGACACTAATAAATAAAGAATTTTTTAAAAAGACGTTTTAAGGTCTTTAGAGTGAGGTGATAATAATGTATGATTCACTAGAAGGGGCTCACTTTCAAAACCAGAACTTTCAGAAAGAAAAGCATACTAATAGAGGATAGTTCATGCTCACGGTTCCCAAAGAAGGCAATTTGCTTTAGAATATTTTTACCCGCAATCTGGCCTATGACATTTAATAACACTTAGAAGTAAGAAGTGTGCCTAGTGATTTCCAAAACTGATGATACTAAAATTCAGAAACAATTGAAGAGCCATTCCTAATATCAATAAAAGTGAAGAACGACTTTTCGACATATTACAGAATGTACGTGTTCCAAGTCAGAAGCCTGCATTAAGTAAACCTGTATTCTTAATTAGAATCTTGGGAATTGATTAATAAAAGAGTACAGGTTTACCTGATGCAAAATTCTGATTTGTAATCCCAGCACTCTAAGAGGCTGGGGCAGGAGAACGGCAAATTCAACCTGAGCCTGGGCAATTTATCAACTAAACAAGTCTCCATAGCAAAATAAAAGGGGTAGGGATGTACAGTTCAGTGCAAAGGCCCTGTGTATTCAATTTCTAGTACCAGCAACAACAAAAATAATTTTTTTAAATTTAGAAACAGAAGAACTTTAGAACTACAGAATTCTACCTTTCAGGTGATCATATAAAATGCCTTCTACCCCAATGAATATGCTAATAAAAATTTATTTATCAACTCTCAGAACAAAAACAAAAAAATAAACAAATAAAATAAAAGTATTTAATCCAGAAACAAAACAGCCACAAAAAAAGAAACTTAGGAAATTTGAGTAAAGTACAGATTTAGCTGATAAGAATACATCCAGATTGGTTTATTAATTGCAACTGATATGCCACAGTGATGTAGGATGTTAATAACAGAGAAGGCAGGGCAAGGGGATATTTGCAAACTCTATGAACTATCTTTGCATTTATCCTTGAGCGTAAGATTGTTCTAAAACAAAATTTATTTTTAAATGTCAATTTAAAACTATGCAGCATAATCTGCAGATTGTAATGTACTTGCTACACTCTTCAGAATGCAATTCAGGTACCCTTTAAAAAAAAGGCTCTCTCTCTCTCCTTCCCCTCACAATCTCTCAACTTTGTTGGACACAAAAATACGTAAGGGGCACATTCTTTTCTATGCTGATTTTACCCTAGCTATAAAATTATGACCAAAGATCAGATTTGTTTTATTCCATCTAATCTAACCTTTCTGCGCATACACTGTAATGATTCATTAAGAAGCAATCCTCCAGTAATCTTCAACCAATAAAATAAAAGCATACAAATTCCAAGTAAGGCCAACATTCCAACAACTGTATCTCTGTAGCTGGAATCATCAAGTCTTCACTTGATGTAAAAATAAAGAAAAAGAAATGCACTGTCTTTCAGCTAGTTCAGAGAACAAGCAGCCACTAATAAACACGAAACCTAACAAAAGGAACCCTGGACAAGGAGGCAGGAGACCTAGGCTCTAGCTTCAGTTCCACAACTAGTTTGCTCTCTGCTCCTTAATCAAGGCTACATAAACTACAATGTAAGAATTAGGAGGACCTTTTAATTTCACTTCTTGGCTATACCAGATAGTCTAGTCAAATGTTTTATCCTCATCTGTCCTGTAAAACCCCTAGAGAATCTAGAAAAACAATAAATCTCCTGCTGTCATCATAGCTTTCTGTTCTCTTTTCCTTGTATTAATAATTGTACATATATGAGCAGATTCAATGGTTAGGTTCAATGTTGACCTTATGAGGAAATTTGATGATTAGGTTCTTAGCCAGTTTGGTTAGCAACCAGAATCGTGGAGATAACTGAACTCATGAACCCAGGTACCACTGTGTGTGTGTGTGTGTGTGTGTGTGTGTGTGTGTGTGTGTGTGTAAAACATTTACTTGCTAGTCAGCAATATTTTGCTATAAGTCTAGACTTTGCTTTCTCTTCAGAAGCCTATTTGAAATCAACTGTGGCTCTAGCAAGATTATAGTTAAATAAAATTTGCATTTTGGTTCTTGTATGGTATAGTTGATAAACTTTTTATTTAAAGAGCCAGATCACAAGTTATTTTAGGTTTATGGGGTACATGGTCTCTGTAGTAACAACTCCACTCTCTCCTTATATTGTATTAGAGCAGCCACGAACAATACACAAATCAATGGATGTGTTTTTGTAAAAATTTATTTTATAAAATCAAGCAGCAATTCTAGGCCATAGTTTTCCTGGCCTTATTTTATAGTAACAGGGGACTGTAAATTCAACTGAAAAGATAAATTTCATAAAACCACATCGTACATTCACACCAAAATAAACTAGCTTGTGGGGGAAAAAATGCTTATGAATGGTGATCTTCACATACCTGTGAATGTTCAAGTTTCCCCTGCATGAACAGGTCACACCATCAATACCTAAGACAGAGCAGGAAAACACTCTCCCTTACATGGTTGTTATGACAGAACAGGGGATGCGTTAATTTATATAGGCAAAATTTACAAGATGACCTGCAAAAGTAAAATACCAGGTTTTAGCAACTTTAGCAATAAACACAAAAACCCAAACCTGAATAATGTCAACCATTACTGTGATTTCTCTCCAGTCAATTAAGATAAATGTCAAAGTTTAATTTCCCTTGAAGAGCTCTTGTGATTTCATGCAACTCTGCTGGTTCAGACTAGCAGATTTTTGGTCCTTCATAACCTGTTATATTTCCAGGAGACCAGAGTAACCTGTTTGAGCTAACAGTTCTGATTTACTCTGGGATGGGACAGAGATTTTCACCAGTATGACTGCTTGGGCCAAGTTCAAATCTATCATCCCTTCATGTCTATCCTAGCAAAAATGTACCATCCTCCAACAGTCACCTCACTACATTCAGCCCCATGTTAGCTACCAGGTGTTCAACAGCAGACTGGAGCAAAGAGCCAGCCCACAAGGATCAAGCAAGTGCCTTTTTAAAAACTAATCTTAAGAAGTTTCTCTACATGGCTTTGCAAAGTAAGCAAAAACCATGCCAAATAGTAAAAAAGGCACTTACTTGACTCCCACAGGCCAGCTCCACACTCTAGCAGCTAAGATGTCACTGGCATGGTACATGGAGAGTGAGGAAGAAACGGTATCTTGCAACCACTGTAGGAATGGTAGTGAGAGACCTAAAAGGACAGAAAAAAGTAAAATCAATGTCAAAAGTAAAGGCCCTCAGGAGCCTGCTCACGTGGGTACCTCAAGACGTAATGCCAAGGAAGAAAAGAAAGTCTCGGAAGAGCTTGTTTATGTCATTCTTAGCTGCTAGTTATTATAGTGACCCTTAAGACAAGAGGGCACTTTTTGAAAAACATGAATTGTAACCTAGAATAAATCCAGACTGATTTTTGAAAACTCTGCAATATGCTTTCCTTCAGAGGAGTATTAAGTTTTTGATTATCATATGGTAAACTCAAAAAGATGTAAAAATTTGGATCTTAAACAATTCATCTATAAACCACCGCTTTTAGATATACTATTAGAGGGTGAAAATGTTTTCATCCTATCTCTGTGCTTCTGAAATCAACAACGACAAAAAAAGGATAGAATTTTTAATAAGCAATGAGGAATAGAATTTTTTTAGTTAGAGAATTTTGACAACAGAAGTTTCAGACAAACTTCAGGAAATTTCAAAGCATTAAAAGAGGTGGGAAGGGGACCTCAGATGACAGGTCCTGGATCTGACCCACAACACAGCAAAAAAAATCAATCAATGCAGTTAATTTGTTTTGCCACACAACTCTCTGGAATAATGATTCTGTCTGAAAATAACTAGAGATCATTCAAAAAAGAAGAAAAAGAAGAAGAAGAAGAAGAAGAAGAAGAAGAAGAAGAAGAAGAAGAAGAAGAAACCCTATCAAGTATCACTACCTCTTCTCTCCAAAAAATAATTGTGTGGTTAGCAAGAAAAACAATGGTGAAAAAATGAAAATCATTCTTAATTATTAAGATAATTAATTTTCCTCCTTTCTATAAAATTTTTTGAACTATTCCTTTACTAAAGATCTCTTTCTTTTTCCCTCAGAGTCATGGAAGAAACAAACTAGCTGCTGATTTTCATTATCTTTGAGGTTCTAGAATCTATCAGGTAAAAAGAGCAAAGATAATATTTCATTCTAAAAGAGTATTAGCCAAAAGATTACTTTTACAAGACCCTTAATTTTAATATGCTTAAAATTGATCATTCTTTTTAACAATCTAGTGGCTCATACTGTTTAGGTTCCAATTAATTTAATTAGAATGAGATACTCACTGTTTATAGCGTATCTGGCCAGACTACATCTTGAGTGCCTAAGTAACATTTCTTCTTAATTCTGGCTTGTGTTGCTTTGCCTTAGCTACCGTCTCTGGAAAGCCTCCCATCTATCAGTGTTTCCCTTGCTACCTCAGCATTTCTAGTTAATGCACTACCCAGCAAATCGTTTGGAGGGACAACCCAAGGGAAGGTCTCCAGTGTGTATTCTGTAAAAATATTCAAACTTTATCAAGGATACTACAAATGAAACATAACAGCATAAAATTAAGGAAATTTTTAAAAGTATTAGCTCTTTTTCTAAAACAATGACTACAAAGTAAAAATATACAGTACACAGGTTAATAGGTAAGTTTATTATTAAAGCAAATATTTTTTCACACCAATTATCTGGCTCAATGCGCAATACACACACACACTGTGATTCCTAGACCTCATTTTTCTCTGGCTTGCTCCATAAAACCATGATAAAATTCAAGAGCAGTGGTTTTTGTTTTGTTTTGTTTGTTTTTTTACCATAAAAGGCATATAACTTTTTACAAATAACACAGTCTCCAAACAGCAGGTAATTTCAAACACACAGAAAGAAACAATGATTTAATGCCAACAAGTTTCCATCCACCATTTGTCTGCACTTGAAAACATCTGAGGAGTGGAGTAAACCATGCTTTGCTGTAGCAGCCCAGGCCCTTCTGAGCACACTGTATCACAGCAGACACTGCACCACCCTTCACACAAGGCACTCTACATGCCTGTGCACTGAAACAGGACCTTCTTTGCCTTCACTGAGGAAGCACTAAGAGTTTTCCTGGGAATGTGATAAAACGCACTTTGGAAGCAAAACAACATTCCTTAGTCTAACTTTAAAAATGACATAATAGATTCCTCTTTCCTGTCCCTCAAAATACTCAGTCAACAGGAGAATGATTAAATATATGGAGTAGAGACAGAAATGCTACATACTAGTTAAAAATGAATAAGCCAGAACCACATGTACCAAGCAAATATTTTCAAAATATTAAAAAGAACAAGCTTCAGGATACGTACAGTGTAAGACCTTCTAAAACAAGGGATTAAGGCTGGGCATGGTGGTGCAAGTTTGTAATCCCAGCACTTGGGAGGCTGAGACAGGAGAAAAATAAATAATAAATAAGGCTGTAAAACGTGCTTATAACACTACCTAAGATCTACACACATACAGACATGTACACATACAGCCAAGGAATAAACACATTATGTGGATGATAAACACAAAATTAGAGAGGATGAGAAATAGGATGGAGGAAGAGTACCTGAGGACAGCAATCAGTGATTTCTCAAGCTAAGGGCATCCGTTACTCCAACTTGATTTTTTATTATTGTTTTTGTCTTTTTTGAAATATGGTTTCACTATGCAGTTCAGGCTGGCCTTGAACGCACTTCAGAGCCTATGCTGGCCTTGACCTTCCAACAATCTTCTTGCCTTAGCCTCCCAAGTGTTGAGATTACAGGCATGCGTCACCAAGCCTGGTCCACTTGTTTTTATAGATATGAAATACTTCACAATTTTTGTTTTGTTTTGAAAGATAAGGTCTCACTGTGTAGCTCAGGCTAGCCTTGAACTCACTGTGATCTTCCTGCCTCAGCCTGGTGGACACACTTCATAATTTAAAAACAAAAAGACTTTTCTCCTGGGATGTCTGAACACAATGTAACTTCCTTACATAGTACACCTCCCAACCCACGAAACAAATCCTCTGGTGATGGACGGCCTTTTAAGTGAGGCCCTCTGACAGCGGCCCTCAGCACTTGTCTTCAGCCAGGACTGTGATTCCTGATGTTGGCTGTGATGTGACCTTCAGATACATAACTCTGGGTTTAGCTTGTCTCTACTTTCCTACTCCTTTTAGGCAAGAAATCTATGATAGTTCTCTTTCATTCTCTCCCTTTTACTGCTAAAAGCTCTAGCAATCATTAAAATGAAAGCCATTATATATTTAAAGCTCACCCAATTTATGGCACTTGGCTATACTAAGAACTTGAATTCATTCTGAATCAACAACTACCGCAGAATGAGACATTAAAATCCCAGAAAGTATGACTAGAGTTCAGCTCTCCAGTAAAGAAATACTACAAAATTGTGTGATATGTCAGACTAAAGTTCTGCTCTCTCAGCTGTGCTTAGAGGGAAAAAAAAAAAACAAACATGTGAGGGAGGAGGCTGGTGGTACTGGAGACTGAACACAGGTCTTTGCACTGAGCTACATCGCCAGATAATTTTTTTTAATCTTAGATAAGGTCTCAATGAATCACTAAACTCTCCGGGTCAGGCTAAAAATTGCAGTTCTCCTGCCTCAGACTTCCAGAGTGCCAGGATGACAGGTCAGAAATGAAACTTTTTAAAAATAATTTCATTTTCTTTGCAGTTAAAAAAATAAAATAGACATTGGCAGCTCTCTGCAAGAAAAAGAGGCTAGATCCATCTTCAGGTCCCTGCCCCACCGCTGTCCTGCCCTCCTGGCCCCAGGCTACCTTGAGTGGGAGGCACAGAAGTCACAGGGCACCTCTGCCAGGGACTTGGAAAAAGGACAGCGTGAGGAGGGGTTCTCACATGCATCCTCTTCCCGCATCTCCCCGACTGCGCAGTTCCTGTGGCACCTGGGCAAAGCTCTGACCTTAGAGGTCGCTGATTTGTAGCTTTAAGTAGACAGCCCCACCTGGAGAAGAAAGGCAGAGCCACCACTCCCTGCGCAACACTGGAATCTCCTTTCTCCAGACCTCTGTGGGCCTTGCCCCAGGCCCGCTGACTTTTACAGGGGGAAAACAGATTTCCAGGCTGGAGGTCACCTCCCACCAGGGCGGGCCGGTCCATTAAACTGGCAATGCTGAGGGCTGCAAGGCCTTCGTTGCCAAGACCCCCTTTCTTGTGTAGGCTACCTTCAGAGAATGGTACTGCCCCGGACTCTACGCCTTCCTCTCACCCTGCGTGTGGGTTTAAGTCTCCCAGAAGTGGCTCATTCTTGGCTAAGGTTCTGAAAGGAGGCCAGGAATTTTATGGAGCCTGCCCCATTTATGGGACCCAGAGGGACGAGGTGAAGAAGGGTCAGAATTCTGTTGGAGAAACAGCATGTCTGTATGCGTCGCTGAACTCGTATTTGCGGAACGTGAGAAGGCTGAGGAGATGGATCTGTGGCTCCATTTTTAACGGGCTGCCCATAGCTGCAGTGGAAAACAGATGGCAGGGGCAACTGATTGTTCAGTATTCAAACAACCGTATTTTTCTCTGATAAAATGTAATCCCTGTTTTATTACTTGTATTTTTCCCCCCTGGACTCTATATGCTTAGGGTTCTTCACCTGTGTTAATGGGGAAACAATTCTTTTTCCTTCCACTACTAGGGGTGTGGGTGTGTGGGTGTGGATGTGTACACATGGCAGGGATGTCACACACCGTTGGGCACAAAGCCAAGGCCTGGGTCAAGCTAAACATATGACTCACCAGTGAGCTATTCCCTGTTATACTTTAGATCAAAAGTGTCCCCCAAAAGTCTCATGTTTGGAAAGTGATCACGGGGGTACTATACTCATCAGAAGATTCATCTACTGACAAGTTCAGTAGCTAAACGCACAGTTAGGAGGCAGTCTAGTTAGAAGAGGTAGGTCACTGGAACTCAGCTCCAGCTCCTCTCACCCCACGTACCTGGCTGCTATGCAGTGAGCAGCTTTCCTCCCTGTACAATTCCGCTTGAGAGCTAGCCAGCCATGGACTAAACCCACTGAAACTGTGAACCAAAACAAATCTCTCCTCTTTCAAATAAAAAAAAGAAACATTAAATACACACACACACACACACACACACACACACACACACATATATATGTACATATGTCAGGCATG